GCTTTCACTACTTTTGCAAAAGTTGTATACTGCTCAATGAATCGGTTAGCAAATAAAGCTCTCATTTGCAGACACTGGACTGTTTGTTGTTTGCAAACACATTTCCAATTAAGATTTTCTCGATACAACATAAAGAGATTAGGACTTTTGACAAAAATTTTGACAATCTTCCGGCAAAGAAGCATGTGAAATAATAGCTCTGATGTGTGTGTCATGTCTGAGCGGCCAATGAGCTCCACCATGGCCTCCGCGCGTCCTCGCAAACTGAAGCGCTGACTGGTGCAAAACTGTGGAAGTCTGATTGGTGAACTGGGGCAAAATAGGAATCAATGACATCCAGCATGCTTCTGTCTCGTCTTAAACACAGTCATGGTAAGAATGCGCTGCTTTTGGTTGTTATGGTCCATTATGGCCTGGATTTCAGCTATCCTCTGTACTGCTGGCTGCCTCTTTCCCTATTGGTTGAGGGGATCCTTCAAGGTCACCATTTGGACCCCCAACGCTACCACTAGACTTCTTACCAGCCATGTAGGTCTCTTCCGACGATGTGTCTATCCCACGTACTCGCCGTCGATGCAGTCGACAGCCAACGATTCCGGCATTGCTCTACAATCGAATTGTGGTCACTACTCCTTTGCAGACATTCCGCATTTTGCTTGGAAGATTGGTCTAGTCACGCTGGCGGTATCCTGTGTCATTCTCTTTTTCATCACCTTTTTCCTCTTCGTGTCGGGCTTCAGCATTTCCATTCTGGCCAACAGCTGCGTTTGCAAGTTATGCCAGTTTGGGTTCCTTGTCTCGGGTACGTTCAGATTGCATTAACCTTCAAAGGGAAGCAGAGTGACGTCCATTTAGCAAATTGTGTTAGAAGTGTCTGCTGATTCGTGTTTCGCTCAAGAAGTTAGTCTTTTTATTTTCAATGAGTCTCCTTCCAAGATCCGACTATCGTTTACTTTATCGTGCCCTTTCTCTGTATTGGAAATAATTCATTTTTCCCGTAGAAGAAAAAGGGTTACCGACTTCATTTAAGAGTGTTGGTGTCAGTTAGCAGTTATTAGTGAAGAAATTTCAATTTTTTTCGGTTGTGGAACTTTGAGTCCAGGTTGTTTTACACTTAAGAGGTCAGTTTTGTGGCAAAATTTGTAAGTATAAAAAGTGATTTACTGTATACCTTCATTTTGTTGGAATTACCGCAGTCGTCCAAAATATTTGTCGTCGTTGTCATGCTGATTATATGAGCTCCCAGTATTTTCGATTCCAAAAGAAGATATAGGGCCAACTTCCGTAGCCTAGAAATATTATTTATTGCAAATTTCTACCAAATATTCCTCTTATTACCAACTATTACCGAGTATTTCTCTTTGCATTTAAGAAGGAATCTAAATAAAGGTTAGGTAAATCAATCCAAGCCATCAAAAAAGTCATTTTTTGATTTTATGTCTCGCCCATCTAGTTTTAAAACATTTGTGTGGGGCATAAATATTTCCGGATGTAAATTTGTTTCGGTTCCTTAATAACTATGCTTGCGACATGGCTATGTGGCAGTCACCAAAACATGGCTCCTCACTTACACGGCAGGTGTTTATGCTGACGGACTGCAAAAATGGGCCGCTAAAAATGCCGAGGAGATGTTTTTTTCATTGTTTACGGAGACAACAAATCGCGTGGTTTAGTTATGTCTAAATTCTGGCCCGTATTTCCAGCTGCGCTGTTTGTGCTGCATGCAGTCCATGAAGGGCCGTTCTCCAAGGTGGCTGGTTCTGCTCTACTGGCCATTCCCAGCCTTTTTTTGCCTTTTTCCTGCTGTTTCGCCGCATTATTTACTCAATGCGCCTGGCGATTGCTGATAAGACCAAGTCTGATTCACTTAATGTCCCTTTAATGTTGTAACTGCGATGGGTGCGTACCTCAATGCAATTAAGCCCTTGGCTAATCCACCTGCGAATATTTTTATCTGCCGCTATTTTGATCTTAGTGGTCTGTTTGAAGCAGCATAGCAATCATGGTTTTGTGAAGCTGAAATTTTGCATCATCGGCAGTGTAATTCTACATAAAAAAGGGCGAGATTTTTACTTGTTGTTTCGAAACTTGCCCTTCAAGTACCAAATTGAGGAATTCAAATCATAATCCCGACGAACCAATAATAAACCCTCTATGAATTTTTTTTTCTGGATGGATTACTTAAAGAACCGAGTGCCTGATGATTGAGAATTGGACGTGATCCCTGAATGATATAACCTGCATAACTGCAACCCAGTTGACCATGCGTTTTGGAAACTCATGCAGGGTAAATTATGCCACAAACCACAGCAGGACATTTAAACCACGATGCGTGGCATTTTTGCCCCCGATCAGCTAACTCCCATGGCATTTACTTGTCTATGGAAAAAAAAGGAATTCGCTGGATGTTTCTACATTAATTTGTGGTCATGCACAGGTGAAAGCTGAATTAGGTTGATTTATCGACGGACGTAATTTACCAGATGCAAAAATTTCCGATTTTGACATTTCCAGATCGTACCGCAACACCTTAAAACCTCCCTAAAGGTGTAATAAGCTATGCCTGTGCGGAAGAATTGCTTATTATAAGGCTTGAGGGCTAAAAGGTATGGGCAGCAGACCATGTTGTCAGGACAGTGGCAGAAATCATAAGGAATGAATAAACCGTGTGGTTAAATACATTTTTAAACAAAGATCTTCAACTGTAATGTATTTAGTTAAAAACCAATTTTCTACCGCCTTCCGGTAACTTTCCCAGTGCCGAACATAGTTATTAATGACCTAGCTAAAATCTTAATAACTATTTATCAAGATGTATTTCAAGTAATGGAAATTTTTACTTCTTGAAAAAGTCCCATAACACTGTTTTGCATTCTTTCGGATTGTGGAAAGATGGAAAGAGGAATGGTACTAATAATTCACCATAACCGAAAGTGCTCAGCAAATACTTATTGTCCCAATAGGTCTGCTCGTCGCCTTCACCTGCATAATGTATCCAATCGGCTGGAAGACAAATGAAGAAGCTCGACAGATATGCGGTGCCTCCGTGGGCGCCTTTAATATCGGTAAGTCCTTCTGTATGAGAGGCAAATTTGCTAATTAATCGGTCCATTTCCCCTTAATTTAACAACTTTGAATATGGGTGCAAATAAAGGGAATATACGGATCATTATTTATTTCCAGAGTATATAACTTTCTAGTATGTTGAAGGATATGATGAAATACCAGTAGAGTTATAATATTAGAACTTGGAGTTAAGTCTCGGTCCCGATTTCCATCCTATTAACAATGTAGGGTGAACGGCTTGAAAAATTAATTGCTATCCGCTTTCTATGATTCCCTAATGACTGGAGGCACTGAATTCGCACCCTATATCGACGACTCCAAATGTGTCTAAGCCCAATCATTACAGGCTCTTTTAACTTTAAAAGTAGCTAAAGAAATTTGTTTATGAGTTTTGTTAAAGCTTCCAGTTGAATAACATGCAATCGGCTCATTATTTTAACATTGAGTTTCAATTTCCTACTTTCTTTCAGTCGCTCATTTGCAGATTATAAAAGAGCTTAATCCAATATTTGCATTGTTCAAATCATGAAATATTAGAGGAGTATCAAACAGCTATTTTAAAAATGTTAAAATGTTATGATGGCCTGTTAGGTTAATTTTATAAACAGCTTTTAAACCTTTTTTAATGATTTCTAAAATAGCTGTTTAAAAGGTAGTCCCCCCCCCCTCCCCCTCGGGCTGAATATGAAATGTCGACTTACAGAGGGGATTGGGGCTACTGATATGACCCGAAGGCCAGGTCGCCATGCGATTCTACACCCCAGCGAGGCCCCTAAGCGTCCCTTTACCAAAATCGAAAGTTAAAAAAAAAACCTTTAGCATATCACAAATGTATGAATACCAATCTTCTTAAGTGTGCCTCCTCCGAGAAAATTGCAATTCTCCCACTACTTTAAATTCGATTTCCAGCTTATTGCTTCTGTTCAATAAACGACTTACATCACACAGTGATTTTTTAAAGATCTCTCACAAACTGGTGTCCTTGTGCGTGAGCTTGGATCCTTTCAATTTCCGAACCCGATAATCGGTAACCACCCCGGTGTTTACCAATGTGTATGGTTAAGCAGAGAATGTACGACTAGCGCGTGCTGGTCTGTCTTGCAAAGACAGTCTGAATCACCCGACCACTTTAGTCATTCACAATCAGTCACTGATCGACCTTGGCCTTCGAGTGCGCACTTATGGTGCTCCCTTTCGTGGTCTAAGCCAATCAGGAGGTAGCGAACGTGAGAGCAACTCTCCGGATGCTCGGCATTTGGACACGATGGTAAAAAAATTCTGAAAAACTAAACTGAATTTTTTTTTCCTGGGTTTGCCGGCATTCCAGCATAACTTGAGGCAAAGTAGGTTTTTCTGCTTAAAGTAGACGCCATTTTTAATGCAGCGAACTTTCGGTAATATCAACATGAGCTTAACGGAAACGTTCGTTTCTTTGCCTTTTACTTTTTTATGACTGGAGAAGTTTTTATTGGATGATACATAATGTAGCCACTCCATTCCCATAATTTCCTACAATCTTTGGTAAGGAGTGTCTTGCTTCTTTCGACGTAATAATTCAACTCCCTTCTTTTCTTCCCACATTTAAAAGCAGTGACTAGTCAACAGATGGTTGCTCGAAGACGATTTACCTTTCTTCGTGCTCTAAATGCAAAAATCTTTTATTATTTCCGATAGCACAGTTTGCATACATTTCATTTTGCCGAGACACTCTTTGAAGGAAATACAACCGCCTTATTAATTGAAACTTGATTTGAAATGCCACATATATGCTTGATCAAGAAAAGTTCCACATTCAGCGTACTCATTGATCATGTCTCCCACCTCACACTTATAAGCCATTCATCATTTCATCCTGAGAAGACTAGACTCACTCAGTGTAATTAAGTGGGTGATGACCGCCAATGCACTTGTCCACTAGAGCTTGCTCCCTTACTGAAGGTCGAATCACACCTACGGCTGAGATCTACCTTCTTGATTCCATACATCATGATACGATACGATGTAACTGAAAAGGAACAGACAAGACCAGTAGCAGTCAGTAGAAAGGTAATCCTATCATTACAAAGCAACGCTACACAGGACCTTAATTTGCAAAACCTAGCCGTGAGGAGGCCTCGTGTCGCACTTTTGGATGAAATAGGAGGGGAAAGGAGAAGAGAGATAAGAGGAATACTCCTCATCTTTATCCCCTAAGCTTGCATCAGCATATTCTTCCAAGTGATTAGCAACCCTTCTTGCCCATAGTGCGGCACGAACGTGTGCGCAGTCGACCTTTGGGAAATAATAGAGACAGGAATGCAGGCGGAACGAACTAGGTTGTTTGCTTCTAGCGATGAAACGCTTTGTGGAGAAAAATTGAATTGAATAAAAATTTGTTGAAAGATGATCACAGGAGCTGAATGTTTACTACACAAGTTAGTTCGACTACGTTACAGAAGTGGGCAAGGCTGGAACCGACTGGCATCGGTGCCACATTCACAATGCAGCATAGTTACTAACCATCGCGCAAATTTTATAAGCCCACCTCATATTTTTCGTGTCTTAAGGAATTTCTTTTTAAAAACATAATTTAATTTGAAAGTTTGCTGAATATTAATTCGACATTTTAAAATACTTAATCTTCTGGTAAAATAATGCTTTTTTAATTATTCTTAAAGGTCACTGTGAAGTCGGTTGGGCCTACATAATAACAATTGTTGGAGGTATCATCACCCTCCTCTCAACACTTCTACCTTGTGCCATGCCTTTGCATCTCCCCTTCGGGACACAGACTGTGGGCAAACAGCACTGCGCAGAAATGCCCAATGGTGTTTACGTGAGTGGTCCCACTGTGCCCCTCCTAAGGATCGAAAACACCGCCACCCCCACCGATCAGTCCTCACTCAACCAAGGCAGCTTCAGTCGCGAAACGAGCAGCGTACAAGGCATGGTTGCCATGACATCCAGCACCTACGTTTCAACGCCGGAATTCCGTGTGCTAATGCCTGCAACACCTGTGATCATTCAGACGCATTAAGGGGTGGGGTTAATGCAAATAAAGTTGTTAAACCCACTTTTTTATGTTTATTTTAGTATATTCTCGAGGAAGAAGAACGAACGTCTCGGCTGTACATGTTTTTCTTTCCCTTTTTTAAATTTGCGGATTTTTTACTTAAATGCAAATGAGTAGACATTATTGTGCTTACACCTCTCTTACGGTTTCGGGAATGCAATGTTTGTATTAGAATGGTCACTGAAATGTGGGCAAGAAATGTAATTCTTCAAATCTTGTTTTACAATTCAACTAAACAAATTGTAACTTGACCTTTTCCTTAAAACAACTTATTAGTAAGCTTGTGGTTTCTTCGTTCAATTTTACAGTAGAACAGCTTACACCACTGTGAAAGTAAAAAATTGCCTTTAAACCATCGCACAAATAAAATTTGGATCTATCAGAATTTGACTGATGGTGTCTCGCATACTCGGCAGAGCCAATGCTAAGTTCTCCAAAATTGGTGTCGTTGCCATAGGACACCTCTACAAATGAGTAAGCAAGCAGGATGGAGTCTTGGTTTCAATTCCACCAAGTCCAAATACTATAAATCTGTTGGCAAATATTTGGTCCAAGGGAATGGCCTATGATACTACTTTTGTCCACTGCTATAATGCGAAAAATTCAACATTACCTCGAAGTGTTACCCAACAATTCCCTTTTCCAAATTCAAGCAAAATAAAGGTTCCTATAAGACATCTTTACAAACGAAAAAAGGCTTTGTGCATAAATAGTCTCCCTTCTTTCCTACTATTAGCTAACTGATGAAGGCGAGATAGTCGAGATGCTGCGTGACAATTTGCCTTTGCCACTTTTGCCAAAAATACATCGAAAATTGCGGTCCCATTAGTGAAAACAACTGAAAGTAGGTAGAGTTGGAAATCAGCGCTGTTCGGCAGAATGGAATGAGTCAAAGGAAGTACATGAAAAAGCCTCGAATTACATGAAATTACTTAGTTTATTTACCAAGAAAGTTTAATTATTGACCTGCTGGATAAAAAAAATTGAATAGGCCAAAAATTTCCTTACGTGATCAAAATCTCGATCCTCACATGATTGCATGGAATTAATGAAATGAAAAATAATTGATAAGGAGATGTGACTCAACCTAATGCTTCAGGTTAAATAGCCATTTTACCAGAGTAAAAACACAAGGTGATGGATGGATGGATGGATGGATGGATGGATGGAT